AATTTCTCAATGAAATGTTACATTCATTCAGTTATTGGAGCAAGGCGGGTGTATATTTTAAAATGACACCTGTAATGTCACCAAGTGTCTCCTCCAATGGTCTGCTCCATTCCTGGTAGCTGCTCAGTGTAATAAAATCCACTATCAAGCTACAGAAATCAACATCATGTAAAAGAATGTCATCTTTGGCAAATGATTTGTGAAACTTATATCAATTAAACTATAAAATTAATAGCCACGAGCTTTGCTTTCATTTCAATCTTTGTGTTTTAAATGAATATAATTGTAAGGCAGCATTATCGAGGCAGGGAGAGTGCACCCTGAGCAAGGATGACAGCATTTTTTATTTTCTAAATTAAAAGAGGTTCCTGTGTAAGAAATGAAGGCACAGCGTGGGTTTTAGAGTGGCTGACATCGTGTAAGGGGCCGAAACCTCCTCAACTGGGACGACCCACTGAGGTACTCCAAGGGCGTTTCCCTCAGAGCCTTAGGGACAGTAGATATGTGCATATGCACAGTGCAGTGGCTGGACAGAGTGACCCTCCCTGTGCTGACCAGGACGAGGGGGTCTCTGAGCTAGAAGCAAACAGACAAAATGAGCCACACAAAACAGAAGAGAGACAAGCGTGACTCATCAGGCAGGACGCAGACAGGGAGCTGTCCACAATATCAGAGATTCAGTAGTCGGCGGGAAGGAAGACTCCTCTATTGTGAACAGCCAAGCAGCTAAACTTAATTGTTACTTCTTTAAAAAAAAATCCAAAGCTTAAATTTTTTTGTAGTGGATACATAAAGGGCAAAGTTATACACATGAATGGGGTGCCATGTGACTTAATAGATTTCAGCTAACAAACCAGCTGACAAACATAAAAGCGGACAGAGGAGTAGGGTGGAATTGTGCATCTGCACAAGTGGAGGGGGGAGAACAGCGCCCAGGCTCTGGCTGGTGCTCTCCACTCAGGCTCCATCAGAGCCCACTGGACCCAGGGCCGAGCTCGGGGCTTGAGCGTGAGGCCACTGAGCCAGGCTCTGAGCCACCTCACGTGTCTGCTGCACGTGCAGTGCTGTAGTGCGGCAAGCAGGGTGAATCTAATTGGCAAGTGTTTAGGAAGCTGCCGGGCGTGCAGCATCCACCTGCTGACTCCTCAGGGACAGGCACAATGGGGATGTGGGATATTTTCCACAAAGCATACGGGCGTTTCCTGCGGGCATTTCCTGAGTCACAGCATATTCTCCTTGGAGCAGTGACAGCATTCCCCAGACCTCTGGGATGAGATGCCGCTTTGTTAGCCAGCATGTGCCTCTGCTGCCCGCGGTGGTGCTCCATGTGGAGGACTGCTGAACCTCCGATCCCCGTGGTCCTGCTCTCAGGCCAGGATCCAGGTGTGGCCCACTTCCTTCGGACAGCTTTCTGAGGAAGCTCTGCCCTGGGTTGGAAGCCGCCGCGCTCTCCAGGACTGGAGTGACCCTCAGACAGTGGCACAGGCAGGGCCCAGGATTAGCTCAGGTCCGAGACTGGGAAACGGTCCCTGTGCCACTCCTGCTGCAGCCAAGGGACCAGGGTCAGACACTGGCACAGGGCTAGCGGCCTCCAGAGAGTCTCATGAGTAGGGGTGCTGGAGGACAGACAGCAAGCGTCACTGTCAGCAGCCGAGCCCTGCTGAGGGATGTCACCCCCCAGCCTTGACTCTGGGACCTCCATGGGGAAACGCTGCTCATGTCCACTCTGACCACAGCAACCTGAGCTGGCTGGAGAATGCGGCTGCCCTGGGGACCAGCAAGCCCACTCCTGGCTGGAAACAGGCATGGAAGCAGCAGTGACAGGCTGGTCCCTGTGGATGCGAGGGCTGTCCCGGGTGAGCAACGGCGCATGAGTGGTAGACAGAAGTGCGCGTAGGTGTGTCACACAGTGGTTGTCTCATCGCTATTTGTCATCCTATTTCACAACCTTTTTTCTCGTTAAGTGTCACAATCTTTCCTTCCTCGCTTTCTCCCCACATCAGGTCCCGCAAAGGTAGCCAAGATTTAGTTCAATTAAACCTCCTGGCATTTTGTGTTTTGGTGAAATTAAGAATAAGCTAGAATTTTCTAGAGCAACGCGTTTCTGTAGGCTGCAGGGTTCTGAAACACCTGGCTGTGGTCTGGAGCCCGGCTAGCTGGGCTCACGGTGCCTGGGCTGGACTCGCATCGTCCACCCGGCCACTGAGCGGCCAGGGACCCAGCTTGGGAGCAGATGTACAAAGGCGGCCTCTGCTCCTGTCCACCTGGGCCGGCCTGCAGCTGGTCCCAAGGGTGGCCGGCGCTTCTCCTATCTCCCATGTTTGCCTCCGCTGTCTTGGTGGCCTGGACCTCCCTGCAGCATGAGAAAGACAGTGGGGTCACCTGAAGTGTATAAGTGTTTAGTCTTTTCAATAGGTAGGACTATTGGGCCAATACTGTTGAGAACTTTCAGGCTGGAGTGATCTCGGTTCTATGTCCACTGCTTAGGATTTTTTTTCTTTTTATTTACCCATAATTTTATTGAGAAACAAATAGCAATGAGACAGTTGCAAACCAAATTGGTAGGGCAGTTTTAATAATTAACACATTGCATACTTTCTTCCTAGTGGTCAATTGCTGTACAAGATGTGGACATGATATCTTATTTACAAACACTATTAGAATAAATCCCTCTATTCATTAAGAGAATGTAACTATATATTTATCCTAGCCATTTTGAATACACAGATACAAAATGGATCTTTAGGAGGATTTCACCTTTGTGTGTCTTGTTTAACTGTGGAAAAGAAAAGTGTGAAGAACTAATGATTCACAGATGTTTGTGCAGTGAAAAGGTGTTGTACAGGCAGTTGTAGCTTGGTGCTGGGCACTTGCCCTGTGGTGGGAGATCCTGAGCTTCCTCCCCAGTGCTGATGGAGCAAGGAAGTGTTTTCAGGAGAACTTCTGGGTTCCCTATGGTCTGCATGCAGAGTGCGGGCCCCCACAGTGCTGTGTGGGTGCCAGCGCACAGGGCGTGCAGGTAGAGCTGAGGCACAGAGGGAGTGGCCCATTGCTGCCCCTGTGTGGCTGTCCTCTCAGTGCTGAGACGAAGCACATGACGTTCACAGCAGCAAGGGCTCATTGGGCTCGCAGTGTGTAGAGCTTTCAGTCTACAGCCAGCAGGCTCCAGGGCAGGGCGGCTTGGCAGAGGACAAGCAGGCCGTGGCAGGGTACGGCAGCCACAGCAGCAGCACGGCCAGGGACAAGCCCCCTCGGCCCTTGTGTCTTGTGCAGCTCCTCACCCTGGTGTGCAGCAGTCACTCCCTGAATCCTCCCGTTGCATCCTTGATGGCAACCTGCATCTCACCCTCTAGCTGCAGCCTGCTTAGACCGCATAGGCCTTGGGGTCGTCTGGACACAGCTTTCACCGTGGCCTTGCCTTGTGAGGGTGAGAAGAATATCGGAGGGGGCAAACCATGGAACCTGAAGCTCAGGAGCTTCCAGCATGGCTAGAGCGGTGGGGCAGGGTGACATCAGGAGGCTGGGCCTCTGGGACAGCAGCCAAGCCAGGCAGGGCACCCTCAGCGCCGTGTCCCCTGGTTGCTGCCGAGGCTGGGGAGCTCCTAACAGGATGTGCACGACAGTGCTCTCCTAAACTGCAGGTGACAGCCGTGGTCTGCATGAGCTGGGTGGTGTGCAGCAGGAGGGAGCTCTTGCTCTGGGGCTTTTCTCCTTGACTTTACAATTTCATCTCACTTCTCTGAATTTTCCTTGCCTTAACTTAAAATCTGAATGATGATATTTTGCCTTTCAGACACTGTAATAAAAGTATGAGTTGTTTTGTACATATGTTAATTAGTCACTTTGCATGGAATTATCTATATGAAGTAAATCCTGTTTAGACAGTCTTAAGACAGTGCGCACACTTGCCGAGATTGCCAGTTCTGCCTTACCTGCATTTCTGCATCTTACTGGGGCCTGAACAGAACCTGTACACTGAGCTGCTTCCTCTGCCCTGCTTTCCTGTTGTTGTTTTGAAACAGTCTCTGAGCTGCTGAGTCTCCCAGGCTGGGCTTGAGCTCAGGGTCTTCCTGCCTCGGGCTGGCACAGCGCGGGACCTCCAAGTGCGTGCCACCCGCAGGGCTTCTGGAAGGTTGTCCTGAGTCCTGAGGTGGGCAGCTTGCCCCTGAGACTGCTCTAGGACCACGCGGGTCAGTGAGGCGCTGTCTGCACGTGGGTAAGCCCTGCCCAGACTCGGCAGCGCTGCTGTGGGCGCTACCCGGGCAGCTGCTGGTCCGCATGCCCACCATGGCGTGCCCCCCACATGTCCAAGAGTTGCAGATGGAAGGGCAGCGTGCAGACGCTGAGAAGGGCCCAGTGTTTGAGGCAGCTCTAGTTGAGAGAAACGAGTCATCCTTTTTACACTAGAATTTCCTGCTTATTCACGGGCTCATTCAACAAGCGCGGTCTTGGTGGCAGCTGTGCTTCCTGTCTTTGGAAAGGCAGCTGGATAAACAGAAAGCTGGGCGGCGTGGAGGGGCCGCTCTGCGGCGTGCACTGGCAAGCCTGCCGAGACAGTGCGTCTCAGGCAGAAGCTCTTCCGCAGACACACGCAGGACACGGCGTGCCGGAAGCTGCGCTTAGTCCCTTGTCACGCGCACGGAGGCAGGGACCCAGGCCCGCGCGTGTGCGGCGCACAGCGCTGGTTCCCCGCCTGGCTCCGGCCCTCACGCTGGCGTGCCGCGTGCTCTGCCCCTGCGCTGCAGTCCACAGCACGCGATGTGCTATGTGCGCAGGGTTTAAAGGAGCAGTTAATGCTCAGATTTTTCCCCCTTTTTAATTCTTATAACTTTTTTTGACCAATTTTACACGCTTTTTATATCTGATAATTTGAAAGACTAATTTAAAGAAAACAATCTGTGATACAACAACCGTTGTTGAATTCATATTACTTTGTTTAGTGAAATTCTGTTTCGTTTCTAATGATTTTAGAATTTTTTTTTATTCTCTTGAAACAAAATATGGCAGAGAATGTAGCTGTGTTCAACCCCAGTTCCTCAGAAACTAACAGCGGTGGTAGTGCCAACCCCAGGCGGCAGCTACGGCCGGTGTCCGCGCTGGACACCGCTGCAGCGGTGCAGGAATAGAAGCCCTGCCCTGGGATCTGAGGGTCCGTGGGACGGGCCGGCCTTTCCTAGTGAGCGTCGTCTGCTTAGCATCTCTTCGTGAGCGAGCCAGCGTGCACTGGGGATTAGAGGAGATGAGGAGCTTCCGTGGGAGCAAGCACCTGCCTCACGCGGCTCCAGCAAGAGCGCGCGCACGTGGGGCGTCAGGTCAGGTCTAGATGCGGGTGGTGGGTAGAACGCCAAGGCCCCGGGAGACGCGCTTGTCTAGAAGGTCTAGTTTCAAGGTTAGAAACATGGTAGGCACCTGCGAATGGAGGGAAGCAAAGATGAAGACGATGGAGGGTGGACGGGAGGAGAGGAAAGGCTGAGCGCGCGTGGCGGAGGAGCGCGCGTGGCACCTAAGCAAGGCGGAAGGAGCAGGTCTCGGTACTCAGCACGCTCCGCAAGGCTTTGTCCAGGTCGTCTCAGCTCTCACGGTTGGACTTGAGTGTTTGGCAGTCGCATCTTGACTACTGAGGCATGGGACTTGGTGACTAATTTCTGTGTTTTGAGAATGACTAAATGTGAATTCTCCTGTTGCACTGAAGACTGCTGAAAGCGAGCCTCAGGCTGCCATCTCTGGTTGAAATAACCCGAGTTTCTCTCCTTTTCTGCAGTTTGATAGAGGTCTGCTTCCATTTGGCCGGGTGGAAAGGGTGTCTAGGTCGCTTCCAACAAGAGGTGGGGTATTTGCTTTTTTAGCTTTAAGTAGCAAATTGATTTCTTCCAAAACTTACTGTCATTCCTCCCAGAACAACAACGAATGAACTTGGCAAGCCCAGTCCTATGGTCAGGGGTCAACAGACGTAAGGGCCTTGTGTCCACAAAGTGAAGAGTTGAAAGGCAAGCCACAAGCCAGCCAAGGCAGCTGGGATGCAGGTTCGTCAAGTCTCCGCACACGTTCCTAAAATAGCAGGGCAGGGCCACCTTGCTCCCCTCCCTGCTGCACTGATTCGGGTGTGCGGCGTCACCACACAATGCACAGAGCGAGGGGGACCCTAGGACGCTGCCTTGTGATTGGGGGTGCAATCTTGCTGTGTAACCCTGGCTGACTTAGAGTCTCTCGTAGAAGGGAATTACAGGCCTGCCACCACCATGCCCAGACTGTGTACCGGATTTTTCATTTCTCATCTATATTTAGGATTTTGTTTCAGATTTTCATATTTTTCTCTGTGATTTTGTTCTTTGACAGAAAATATTTATAAAGAAAAATTCCAAACCCATTTCAAAGCTGGCGCTGCTGTGGCTGATGTGTGTGGGGACGCTTCTGCAGTGGCAGTGAGGCGGCGCCCCCGCGACCCAAGGAGACTCTCAGCTGGCTGCTAAGGAAGCTTCCAGGTCTGCGTGTGCTGCAGACTGGAGAAAGATGAAAGCGCTCGGGCGACGTGGGTCCGCCTGCATGCTCGGGAGTGCCCTCACTTCTGACACTTTTGTCTATAAGAGGTGTGGTATTTTTAAAAAAATATGCGCACTGCTGTGCTCTGCATCAGGGGTGGGTCCAGCGTTTGAGGGGCCCGCTGTTCACGTAGAAAGCGCACATCAGGAGGATAGTCAAACCGGAGCCCTGTGAGGGTGCGGCTTCTCTGGGTGCCATACACGCTCCTTCCGGAGCTGTCCTGGTCACTTCCTGTGCTGCATGCAGCACGGCCTCTTCCTCAGCTGACTCCGGCTGTAGGGACACGACCACTGCCTGGGGATGGTGAGGTGGACCAATGACAGCGGTGTGACGGGCTTCATCCTGCTGGGCTTTTCTGGCCATCCCCAGTTAAGGGAAGCACTATTTGTGGTCGTCCTGGTCTTCTACCTACTGACCATTTGGGGGAACACTGCTATCATCCTGGTGTCCTGCCTGGACGCCAAGCTCCGCACGCCCATGTACTTCTTCCTCTCGCATCTCTCCTTCCTGGACCTCTGCTTCACCAGCAGCATCGTCCCACAGCTCCTTGTCAACCTAGGGGGTGCAGATAACTCCATCTCCTACGCAGGCTGCGTGGTCCAGCTCTATGTGTCCCTTGCCCTGGGCTCCACAGAGTGCGTCCTTCTGGCTGTGATGTCCTACGACCGCTATGTCGCTGTCTGCCGTCCTCTGCACTACGCCGCTGTCATGCATCCTCGGCTCTGTCATGCCCTGGCATCCGTGGCATGGCTCAGTGGCATGGCCACCACCCTGGTGCAGTCCACACTCACCCTTCAGCTGCCCCTCTGTGGGCACAGAATTGTGGACCACTTCTTCTGTGAGGTCCCAGTGCTCATCAAGCTGGCTTGTGTGGACACCACCTTCAATGAGGCCGAGCTCTTTGTGGCCAGCGTCTTGTTCCTGCTGGTACCCGTGTCCTTCATCCTGGGCTCCTATGGGCTCATCGCCCGGGCAGTGCTGGGCATCGCGTCAGCAGCAGGCAGGCGCAAGGCCTTTGGCACCTGCTCGTCCCACCTGCTGGTGGTCGTCATCTTCTATGGCACCATCATCTTCATGTACCTGCAGCCGGCCAAGAGCCGCTCCAAGGACCAGGGCAAGTTTGTTTCCCTCTTCTACACTGTGGTGACGCCCGTGCTCAACCCCCTCATTTACACCCTGAGGAACAAGGACGTGAGAGCTGCCTTGTGGAGGGCTTTGGAGAATGTCTTGGGACTAAATCGTATGTGATTTTCATGACAGGTAAAGCACTTCTGTGGTGGGTGTCTTCTTGAGTCATGCCGAACACCTGAGGATGGCTGTGCTTATCAGTCATGTCAAGGCCGACTCTTCAGCTGATGCGTGTTGAGGTCCCTTCTGTGAAGTACACACATGAAATTCGGGACATTTGTTTTAAATTGATGCTTGGCCAGATTAAGTCAAGCCTGGGTGACCAGCCACACCTTCCCTGTTAGCTGCAGAGCGCACAGCGGGCCTCGGCGCTTTCCCACCTCTCCAGCTGCTCACAGGCTCATTTGTTTCCAAGGCTGAGGTGAGGTGGACGTGAGCTGGCCAACCTGTCAGGGACCTGAGTTCCAGACGTCATCAGAAGGCAAGCACAGCGGTACACAGGGGAGTGGCAGCTGCACCCCGGGGTGAGCCCCGAAGCCTCGCACTTGGCCTCCTTGTGTGTGGCAGATCCTGAGCACTGGCTTGCATTGGTCCATGAAGACCGTGGTTGCTTCCTAAGGAAAAGTCAGGCTGTGTTATTTCCTGTGGCCCAGTAGAGGTGTAAGGTGTGGTCCTTTACTGCTGTGGTGATGCTGTGGTTCTACTACAGAGCGTTTATTTTCAGAACTCTGAGATTTATGTTTTAGGAAAAACATCAACAAAACTGATTTAACTAGTTTTACTAGCATGCTGTCGTTCCTTGTCTCACGTGTGTCATTACCGTTAGCCTTTGCTTCTACCGTTTCTGTTTTGAATGGACTAAATTTTGTTTCTTGAGTCTTGGAAAATGTAGGGGAGCCCAGCAGTATGAGCACAGCCCTTCCCATTGCCCGCAGCGTGGCCTGCGCTGGAACTTGTGCTCTGTCGCACAGAACGGCACTGTGCATAATCCTGCATCCAAGGATCAGTGGAGCTCGTGCATGGGGCTGCTCTTCCAGACCCAGCCCTGCTGCCACTTCAGGTACAGAAGATGATAAGATGATGTCAAGGCTCCAGTGTGATTGGGAGGCAGAGGCAGAGCGGGAGGGTGGTGCTCAGCTCCTGGCCGTCAGTGTGTGGAGCCCCCATCTCTCACCTTTTGTTCATTTGCTTATTGCATTTTTGGTGTAAAGAGCACTGTTCTGTTACTAGGCATAGGAGCTGAACTAGGAGGAAAGGTCGTGCTTGCAATTTGGACTCATCACTACATTAGGAATGATGGATGAAACCCTCCCTAGGAGAGGATGGAGAAAGCGAAGCTGGGGGAGGTTGGCACAGGGAATTGGGTGTCAGCACAGTGCCTGAGGGATCCTGGGCACTTGGCACTGCCACTGTGACATCGTAGAGCCATGGCCCTGATCCTAGGGCAGTGCTGAGGAGAGACACTGGTACCACCACACCCTGTGGTAGGGCCTCCTGGGCATCAACAGGAGGAGCAGGCGCCAGGGGGCATGGACACACGAGGGGAGGGTCTAGAACAGTGCCTGGGGCTGGGTGTGGACTCTGCAGGTGTCAGGGATGGGGAACTTGTGGGTGTGAGTTAAGCCTACTCTTGGCAAGATAAGTTTGTACAGTTAGGAATAACTTCTGATTACAATGCTTTTTGTTTGGTCTAAAACATTTTAATGGGGAGTGTTTTATAGAATCTATATGTCACAATTTTGTAACCAGATGGCAAAGTTTATCACACAGTATATGAATGTGCTGCTTTATAGAGAAACTCTTCATATAATATGTAATAAAGGCTCATAGTGTTTCTACAGCACTTGTAAAACTTGCTGGATATCTTTCTATATGATTATCTGTAATGTGCAGTTAGGTTCTTTTTGTCTGATTCTTTTCATTATCATTCATGATTGCTTTTGAAGATTCCACGTGATTTTTCTGCCATTCTGCACCCTACACCCAGGACCTTCCACATGAGCTAAGCTGCTAAGAAAGTACCCTTCAATACGGATGGTACGCTCCCTAGGAAGTGTCCTAGGGCCACATTTGGAGGACATTTCTTACTCATGGAACACAAATATAAGCATTGCCGCTTCAGTGTGGAGCAGGAAGAAACACAGGCTAAGGCCGCGTGGTCCGTAGCGCTGCAGCTACCACAGCTTTGTAATGAGCAGTGGCGTTTCAACTGGGCATTCGCAGGAGGAGACTGCTGTGTGTAGCCGTCCACCAAGCCAGGTCCGGGCCCTGCGCTGGGGTGGCCATGGCCCGGCTCAGCTCAGCCCCCAGCTGTTCGCCAAGCTGACCTGCCGCTGGGGTGCTTGGGGTCTTGGAGCGTGGAGCCCCCAGGCATGGGGTTAAGCAAGTGGGAACACCGAAGTGGGCATCTGAGTGGACCAGAAAGCTCGGGATCTGGGGGTTCACTGCCTCGGAGTCACTTCTAGTTCAGGAATGGGGGAGAGAGAGAAGAGCCCAGGAGAGACATGGTGGAGGTTAGAGCTTTCACCAGGGAGGAACTTGACAGGGTGACAGAGAAAGCGGCATGTTGTAATGACCAAGATGGAAACAGCAAAGGAAGGAAAAAAGAGCCCAGTGACTAGAGCCACATGTCCAGGAAGAGCTGAGCTGGGACGCCAGGCGCAGATGTCTTCGCCCTGTAGGAGGTGAACCTGGGCTGCAGAGGGAGCCCCAGGGGCTGAGCTGCTGAGCTTCCAGCCCCGTGGGAGGCATGGGCAGTGATCAGAGAGCATCTGTGGGTGGCCTGGGCACCCACCCCCGTGTCCTACATGCTGATTAAATGTGCTACAGTTAAGCCCACTGAAATGATTTTTTTTAAGATGCCTTGAATGGGCCACTTTCTTCTCAGACTAATACTGCAAGCTGTGTCAGCATATTTCATGAAGGAAACTGCTCAAACCTGAAGGAGGCTGTGCACTCTGAAGAGAGGGTTCAGAGCAGCTGAAGCTGACTTGAGCACAGGGCAGGAGCCTGGACATCGCAGGTGGAGACGAGCTAGGTGTTTGCAAATAAGTTCAGAGTTGCACAAACCCCGACCCCGGAACTGAGGCGAGCGGCGGGTCCTGACACAGCTCCTCCTCTGCCGCTCGACTTCACACTGGCTTTGTACTCAGCTTTTCTTCACTGAAGCACTGGGCCCCTGTGCTGGGGCCACGTCCCTTCACTTGGTGACACACCAAGGTGCGCCCTGCGTCCTCATGTTATAGGCAGCGTATGCTGGCTCTGTGAGGCTGGGAGCACGTGCTCGGGCTCAGCAGGCCTGGCCTGTTGCTGAAGCTGTGAGGTGTTTGGGTGCACATGATTGGATTACTGGATAGAGATCAAGGTGATGATGAATAAAAACAAATTCGGGGGGCCGGAGAGATGACTCAGTAGAATAAGCACTTGCCTGACCAAGCACAAGGGCCTGAGTTCAATCCCTGGTTCAGCAAAAAAAACAAAACAAAAAAAAAAAAAAAACAAAAACAAATTCAGGGGTGGGCCTGTGGTCAGTCACGCTTGCATAATTGGAATGGGGCTCTGCTCCTGAGTTTTGTAGGAAATGTAACAACAAGGGCTTAGATTTAAATGAAGGGCATTTTGAGGTGTGTGAGCCATGGGAGTCCTAATCTGGGTCCAGGAGGGACCTGACACCCAGTCAGTGCAGCGCCAAGGAAGGAAGTCTATTGGGAGCACGTGAATATGGATGCTGAGGGTGGGATGGATGCAAAAGAGTTTTAACAATAAAAAATGAGATTTCAGGAGAGACAGTTCAAGCAAATACTTTTATTCTGAAAACTTTATTGCAAAGTTCTTTGTGCTAAAGGGGGAGATGCTCGATGTTACCAGTGTGTGGTGCATGGATCAGAAGCAGCAGTGGAGGCAGGACCGGCTTGAGGGGCTGAGGGAGACACTCCCCGCTGGAGGTGAGGACACACTCAACAGAACAGGCTGGCTTTGAGGGTGCGCGCTGGGTATTTAGATGTGGCACATGTCTGATGCTTCCTACTCCCTCCACACAGTAGATGGTCCCAGAATGATAGCGGTGAAGGAGGACGCCACCCCCCTTGGGACACAGTGTCCCTCTTCTCCCCAGATGATCCCAGCAGTGAGTGTGTCCCTCGGCTCATTGCCTGCTGGGACACCTGCATCTTCAGGGACTTCCTTGTCAGTGGGCTGCCCATTTTCCCATGCAAGGACCTTTCATGATTCTCGTCACTGCTGTTACTGATCTCTCAGCTGGACTGCTGTCGGGAGCACCGGTCCTCGGCACCCGTTGTCTGCGGGCCGCTGCCTTGTGGGTCCAGAGTTCTGTGATTTGGAAGCAGCTGGGAGGAGGCTCCCTGGAGATGAGAACGGGACTCCCTTAGCCAGTCCCGATCGTCTGTGTGGGCTGCTCTGTTCAGTCTTGCTTGAGTATCCGGCATCTTGCAGAAGGGAGTGACAGCAATTTGTAGTCCCCACCACAGTCGAGTTTGTTCTACTATTAAAGTAATGGTGATGTTTTGTGGGACAGGTAAATTATGCAGATTTCCAATTTTTCTTGTCAAACATGGAAATGAGCTGCTACCAAGTGCAAGTTGGTGTCATACAACTGATAAGTGGACCAATTATTGCAAATTAAATATTCTGTTGTAAGCACACCAGAAAGAGTGATGACCGCAGGGTAGATGGAGAGGCTCAGAGTGGTGCACCAGCAGACACAACCAGGTCTGCTCAGCCTGCCCTCGTGGGAGCTTCTCCTCTGTTAGAACGGTGAAGTGAGGATGCATTTCTCTGGAACTGAAGGGTGAGCAGGGTGGGATCTGTGTGGCCAGCAGACTCCTGCTGGACCTCCAGCGGGGCACTCCACTGGTCTCCGGGCTGCTTTGAACCTGGCCACGCAGCACCTGAGGGCATCCCAGGGCATCTCTGACCTTGGGTCTGATCATTTAACCAGCTGGGCACATGCAGTGAGGACCAGTGTGTCTGGGAGGCCACAGCTGGATCGTGCCCAGGTGAGAGAGGACATGCTTGCTCACCGTTTGGTAGCCTGTCCCGAAGCCCTCCATGCGAGTGGTTGAGGGGTGGAAGGGCTGGAGGCACGCAGCAAGTGCCTCACAAGAGTTGAGTCACAGCCCAGCCCCAGGTGGCTGCTCAGGTGGGCACAGGTGTGGGAGAAGGGCACCTCACGTACATCCTGGGAACCCTGCTGTTCCTGCCACACTTGCCACAGCCTGGGCTCAGATCCAGAGGGGACGGCTGTGGAGGATGCAAGCACCTCCGGCTGCCCTCAACCTTCGCAGGCCACTGTCGCTGTGCTCAGCACTTCTCTGGGCCTGCTCTGTGGGCTTCGGGCTGCGGTCTTTGCAGGGATGTTTTGCAAGCAAGAGGAGGAGATCCTTGAGGACCACTCCTATTCTGGACGTCCAGTGTGTCCTCTGCCTCCCGCCCTCACTCCTGGTGGCTCCATGGCGATGGCTGTGACCCTCATGTTTCACGGGGCCCCATCGGGAGGAGGGGAGCGCGGGGCAGGAAGCAGCCCCTTCTCCAGGCGGGGTCCTCCAGACAGCCTCGCAGGGCGCGGCTCAGGCTGCTGTCCCACTTCCGCCCCACACAGCCCGTTCTAGGCGGGCTCTCCACAGGCCTGAACATTAACCGCTTCTTGTTTCCCTCAATACGTGATGCCCAGAAAACTAAAGCAAGAGTAGAGAGAGAGAGCAAGAGACACGGGACACGGGAAAGTGTCGCCGTCCTCCCGAGGAAGCGCTCGGGGTGCGCAGCAGTCTGCGTCCAGCACCCGCGGGTCAGCGCAGCGCCAGTCCCTCAGCCTCTGTCTCATCTCCAAGGTGAAGACTTCAGGCCAGCGTGGTCCCCAAGCTTCTCATAGAATACCGTTAGGTGCGGGAGGGGCGCTGAGCTCTGGCTTCCCAGGACGGGACTGGAGAGCCACCCTGATGCAGACTGGAGCAGAGACTCTGGAGGAATCAGACACATTTTCAGAATGAAAACCGACTGCTTTTACAGTTCCCTACTGTTCTATAGTGAATCCAAGGAAGGTACGGGTCATCCTCCATCAGCAGCTCACCTCCCTTTGCACCAGGGATCGTGGCTGCAATTAATGTGGAATTCTCAGCCTCTTCCCTCCCTCCAGCTGATCCCAGGTAATGTCCACACGTCGCGGCACGTCCCTGGACATAAGCCTACCTCTCGCTGGAGCAGAGACATATGTTTTCCTCCACCTGCCCTTCTGCCAACACCAGCCCAACGTTTCCAGAATAGAAACAGAGAGCTTCCTCCTGCTGCCGCACTGGAGGTGTGGTGTCATCTCAATGCGTGTGCAGAAAAGGTAAGATCATTATTTCTAGAGTCTTAGTACATCCATCCGTGAATTTTTAAGAAGCACAGTATAAGTGCTCTTAACACTAACATTACTTGAGGTCTTTATTAATAATGTATATTATTTTTGTGTAAATATTTTTCTGACTACTAAAGGCTTTCAGGCAGCCTCTGTAAATAACACCTAAGCAAACAAAATCTATCTTAAGAGCAATGTTCTACTTTTTGGCTGTTTAATCAGTGAGTGAATTTGTATCAGGATGAGATGATTTGAATTCGTGCGACGCATTCTGGCTCCCAAACATGCTTGTGCACTTTCTGCTCGTTGCTATGAATCTTGTCTCCCTTGAGAATAATCTTCTGTGCCCTCCTGCACCGTCCCACCCACCCATCAGGGTTTGGATTCAATTAGCTTCATTAATAATCACTTCTCATTTGGAAGTCATCTTTTTCACATATATTATTTTTCAAAACTTGTTTGAAAAAATATTTACTTTGTTCAGCCCTCAAATATTCTTTTAAGATTTGCATTATTTGCTGCCTGACTATTTCCTTTTGCTATATCTCTTGGTAGCTGCAGACTCCTGGGCCCTCTCACACTCTACTCCTGAAGCCGTGAGCACAGAGGTGCGCAAAGCCTGTGGCTGGGACTGAGATGCGAGGACTTCGGCATCTGTGCCTGCGGTCAGCTGCGTGCAGGCTTTTGCCTGAGTTTTAGCCCAGGGAGATGCACTGCCCTTCTTTGAGTGGCCCTGGTCTTCCAAGGGGCACATGGCTCAGCCTCCACACCACGTGCCTGTCCTTGAGACTTGGTCCCTAATGTCCCAGGGAGGCAGCAGCAGGGGAGGAGATAAGCAGTGTGGATGTGTGGGCCCCAGCTGCCATCTCTGCCCTCCAGCACCTTCGCTCTGGAGTTGAAGGTCCTGCTGGGATGAGCCGGGCTAATGACAGCTCTGCCACTGGCTTCGTCCTCCTGGGCTTCTCAGACCACCCCGGCCTGGAGCCAGTGCTCTTCACGCTTGTGCTCCTGTGCTACCTCCTGACCCTGTCGGGGAACATCACCATTATCGTGGTCTCACAGCTGGAGCCCTCCCTGCACACCCCCATGTACTTCTTCCTCAGCAACCTGTCCTTCTTGGACCTCTGCTTCACCAGCAGCCTGGCCCCGCAGACCTTGGTTAACCTGCGGGGACCGGAGAAGACCATCACATATGGTGGCTGCGTGGTGCAGCTCTACACTTCCCTGGCTCTAGGCTCCACTGAGTGCATCCTGCTGGCCGTCATGGCCCTGGATCGCTATGTGGCCGTATGCAAACCCCTCCACTACGCTGTCATCATGAGCCCCCGGCTCTGCCAGCAGCTGGCTATGGCCTCCTGGCTCAGCGGTGTGGCCAATTCCCTGGTCCACGCCACCTTCACCCTGCGGCTGCCTCTCTGCGGTAACCACAGGCTGGATCACTTCATTTGCGAGGTCCCTGCACTTCTCAAGCTGGCTTGTGTGGACACTACGGTCAACGAGCTGGTGCTTTTCGTGGTCAGCATCCTGTTCCTCATCCTTGCCCCTGCGCTCATCCTCGTGTCCTATGGCTTCATAGCTCAGGCTGTGCTGAGGATCAAATCTGCAGAGGCGCAGCTCAAGGCCTTCAGCACCTGCTCCTCCCACCTGACGGTGGTGGTCATCTTCTACGGCACCGTCATCTACATGTACCTGCAGCCCCGGGACAGCTATGCCCAGGACCAAGGCAAGTTCATCTCCCTCTTCTACACCATGGTGACCCCCGCCTTGAATCCCATCATCTACACATTGAGGAACAAGGACGTGAAAGAAGCTCTGAAGAAACTTCTCTTGGGAGTGCCATGCTTCTGCTGCATGTGATGCACAAGGTGTTGATTCTAAGCCCTGGCACCACCAGCTGGTTCACCAAACCTGCTGCTCTAAATTCCACCCCAACCGATTTGCCACCCACCTATTTGTCTTTGTGGTGGATTTGTTCTCTGTCTTGGCCAGCTAAGCAAACTGCAGGAGTCTAAGTCACCAGACATCTCAGGCAGGGAACTCAGCCTGTGTGTGTATGATGTGACCCTCGCTGCAGGTCTGCGGCTGACTTCTGACACAGATTCTCAACTGGCAGAGCGTCAGGAAATCAGATTGTTAACATTTTACTGTTTCCCCAGGAAATGGAGTTTTCAGTTTTAAAAATTTCAGCAAAACTCTACATTTTCAGTGAAATATTTTGTGCTTGCTGTCTAGAGCGCCCCACTGAAGTGTCACACTGGAAAATAAGCACTTTGTGCTGTGATCTCTCCACCGCGGCAGAACTTGAGTAGCTGCCAAGGCTTGAGCGGCGGGCTCATAGCCGCTATTTGTTTTTTAGAGGCACTTCCCACCTAAAGATATATTTCAATAATACATTAAAGAGGAAAGAAGCCAAGTAGGCTGGCCACCCTATTTCTCACGTCTTTGGAAGGTGTCCCTTTCTGTGGCCTGCAGGTCACTGTGTTCAGCAGATTTAGGATCTTCAGCAGCGCAGAGAAGTGGCATTAGTGCTGTGGCAGTGAGAATCACAGAAATGGAAAGTCCGGCTTGATTTCCAAAAATCAGCTCCTCTGCCTGGAGCCCCTCGCCCGGGAGCCGCATCGGCTGCTCTCATTTGGAGGAGACATGACCATCGCATGGCCGGAAAAGGTCGCCACCATCGTGGTCCTCCGTGTCCTTGGCAGTGCCCTTGTGCCTCCTGCTCTTGCCCCGTGAGGTTGCCGTGTGCGTGGCAGTCTAAGTGTGCAGCTTGGATGACAGCCCGGGCCTGCTAGACAACTCCGCCCAGCGCCCCAGACTCCAGGCCGGGGACTTTGCCCCACTGCAAATGCGCCGCTTGCTCTTGCTGCTCAGCAGGGCGCCAGGGCCTGCGGCCGCTAGCATCTCCACACCCATCGACCTTCTGCACCCCGCACTGCGATGCATTCTCCTGCGGCTCACCCGCATCGTTAGGTGGACCTCCTGCTTTCTCACAGCTGCAAGGCCCCGCTGTGCCCACACCCCTCTCCCCTTTCCCCTGCGTGTTTGGTAGAAGACTCTGTGTCCTCTCTGCACCCCGGCCGCTGGTTTCCGCCTTGGCTGGGCTACTTTACTGCCCCACCAACGAGGCGTGGGCTTCGCTTCTCTCCATCTGGGATGGTGTCGCCTATCTTTCTTTTCCTATTTCTTCTACTTGACCAGCTTTGCTGTTGAAGCCTGTACTGACTTTTCCCATTTGATGATTATGTTCTTCAGTCTCTGATTTGCTGTTGAATTTTTCCTTTCTTCCTGTTGATATTTCACTTCACTGATGCTTCAGTTCCTGACTTGTAGTCGTGCTTTCTTTAGCTCACTGGGCTTCTCGAAGATGATGATTACAGCTTCTCTGTGACTAATTCACAGATCTCTGTTTCTTCAGCTCAGTCCCAGGGGCCTGTTTTTTTCCTTGGTCATGTGGTCTTTTCCTGAGTTCCACGTTCCTTGCAGCTTTGCACAGAAGCCTGTCCAGTGAAGGGTCAGATGCCTCTTTTCTTATTGATTGACCAGGCAGTGCCTGCTCCAACTGTGGGCTGCAGACCCAGGCAATCTCTCCTTCCTGTGGGAAACTGAGGGTCCTCTCCTTCTGGCTCTCCAGTCACGACCTTGCCTGGGACAAGGGCCCGCTGTCCCCATGCTGGTGTGAGGCTCCAGCATGGTGCTCTTTCTCCGGTACATCCAGGTGACCAGCACAGTGCTCCCTTTCTCCAGGCCTGTCTCTGAGAGACCTCAGCGCAGTGCTCAGGTTCCCTAGTCCCCTCCTGTCTGGCTCTCCCAGTACCAAGCACTGCCTGGCCCTCTTCCCGATGCTCCATGCTGAGAGGCTGAGTGCTGCACACGCTCTTCATTTCCACCTCAAAAAGCAAGAGGCTGGGGCCCAAGCTCTGCAGGTCACTTGGCCTTGCTCAATCTCTCTCCCTTGCCTGCCCCAGGTGCTGGCTGCCCTGGTGGAAGGGACACAGCAGAAAACAGGGCTGACCACAAACTGAGCAGCCAAGCAACTTCAGCAGGAAGACTGAAAGGAGGATAGTGTAATACTTGACGTCACGCACAATTTCATGGTTGTGAAACACAATAGCACAATTTATAGCATGTACTGGCATAAAAACAGACATGTTGATGAGTGAAGAGGGACGGAGAACTCCAAATGAAACCACACACTTGTAGTTCATTGAAGTTGCAAAAAACACACAATGGGAAAAGGACAGACTTCAGTGAAGGATGTCAGGGAAGCTAGACATCCAAATGCAGAAAAGTGAATTCTTACACCATGCACAATATGTTCATGCAACATGGATTAAAGACTTATAATAAAGACTTTTATGTAGAATCTTGACACTCCAGATTCTAGAAGACGGTGTAGAGATATCCTTGTAGAGCTATTTTTAGATAGCATATTAAGCATATTAATAGCCCAAGCAACAAAAGAAGAAATCCACCAGTAGGGCTAGATCACATAAAAAGTTTCTGCATAGCAGAGAGAACAAGGTGCAGCGCAGAGGCCTTATGAGGTGGAAGCGACACCTGCCGCGTGCTCAGGGCCATCAGTCATCATGTGCAGGCCTGGCATGAACAGCATGAGGGACGAAGGAGAGAGAGGCAGAAGGCAGGACTTTGATGGGACAGCTCCAGAGAGGGCAAGCAGGCGGCTTCCACTGTGGCTGCAAGAAGGAGAGAGTGAGCCCCCAGTGTCCACTGCGCTGCCAGTTGCTGAAGTCCTGAGATGAGAGGCGGGCGCGGGGTAACACAAGGGTGGGGACAGAGCTGAGAAGGGGCCCTGGGCTTCCTCAGGTGTTCACACCAGAGTAGTGTGATGATCGCTTCTCGGCCTTTTGGCTAAGATCAATTGCAGAGTAGTGTGATGCCTGATCACTCCCGGGAGGAGGATCATGCTTTAAAGCACTTTGTGGGTCCTGTTACCCTGTCTCAGCAGCATAACTGGATTTCACCCTGTCAAGCCCTTTTGAGAGAAAAGTGCGTAATTAATGACACTCTTTAAGGGTCCATTAATTAAAAGCATTCTGTGTTGCAAGTTTCTCCATCTGCAGAAGAGGTGCTCTGTCTACGGGCTGCTTTGCTGTCTCTTCCTGTGGTTGCCTGGGAGCAGTCGGCTTGGTTGTTCATAATAAATTTTCATTTTGCTGTGCTGGACAGCGTGCGTGTACCATGACTTCCATCTGATCTAGACAAGGACTGGCCAGTGGCAAGGGAATTATTTACCTATATTGAGAAATAACATTTGAGAAACCTCTTGTCTTTTCTTTTTTGAAATTTTTATTTATTTATTTATTTATTTATTTATTTATTTATTTATTTTATTTTTTTGGTGGAACCGGGGATTGAACTCAGACCTTTGCGCTTGCCAAGGAAGCACTTATTCCACTGAGCCATCTCCCCGGGCCCACCTCTTGTCTTTTCATGATACAAAAGCTAAGTAAATTAGGTGTAGCAGGAAAATATGCAGCATTTACCACTGGCCATAGCGGAGAAGTGCAGGCTGTCGTTACACTGTGTGACTGGAAGTGATGCTGCGCTCTCAGTTTTACCACAAAACAAAGGGAGCCCACCCACCACTTCTAGTCAGTATAAAATTGGAAGGTCAGTCCAGGGAAGTTAAGGAAAGGAAGGAAAAGAGCGCCTCCAAATAGGAACAGACATTAAATATCTCCTGCTTGCAGATGATGTGCCGTGCCGTCAGCAAACAGCGGACGCACAACTAGCCACAAAAGTGCTGCCTTTTTTTTTTTTTTTTGACATTAACAGTGAACAAGTGTTTTGAAATCTTTTTAAGGAATTTCATGGATTTTCACTACTCTGGGACCAGTTACTGGAAGCTTACCAGTTTGCAAAGCTTGCTCGTGTATGTACACGCACCTGTGTGCGCGTGTGTGTGTGTGTATATGTGTGTGTGTGTGTGTGTGTGTGCGGGCACACACATTGGTGTGCTTGTGTGGTGGAGTGACATGGTGTGCTATGGCTCCAGACCTAGAGGCTGACCCTGGAGCTTGAGTCTCAGTTGCCTTCCGGGTCTCCTCAGAAGTGAAATCCTCTGCAGGGAGCTCTAGAGTCCTGGCAGGAGGCCCACATGCAGGGACCAGAGGGGTCAGGCGCTGGGCCCTGTGCTGTCCTCATCTCTCCTTCTCCTGGCTGTGCCCACTCCTCGGGTCCTTTAGGGTTGGATGGAACAACTGGTTCTCATGAACTGTGATAGCCAGGAAAACTGTTTGTGTCTCCTGATATTTTCAAAACTCAGTTCGGAACAGACCAAGTGTAGGGAGCTCCTGAAACTGGAAATTAATCAAATGTGGGAGGGCAGGATGAGGCCTCACTGCCTGGAGCAGGCAGGCTACCTCAGTCTTGAGACAAGCATCTTGCCTGGACATTGTGTGTTACTAGTCGGTAGGCAACCTTGTGTCTTGTAACTTTGCAAAGGTACAAATGAACACACCTACTGTTGTTCAGAGAGCCTTGGCCTGTCAGGCTCGGCCCACCACCTGACCCTAGCTATGACCTCGTCTTTCTTTTCTGAGTCTTCTCGTAGTTGTCTCCAGGGGACTACTAGAAGACCAACAGATGCCTACAACCAGGGACTCAGATATGAGACCTGCCGTGCTGAACAGGCCAGAATAAATGTAAGAGAGACACTTCAGAACTTAGGCACAGGAATGACTTCTTAAATAAGACTTAATAAGACTTTAATAAGTAAGGGAATAATATCAAAATTGCAAAGAAGGATTGAATGAAATCGAACAGCATCTGAGAAGCCTGCCATGGTGTTGTATGCCTAAAATCTCAGCACACAGGAGGCTGGCACAGGAGAATCATGAGTTCCAGGTCAGTCTGGAATTAGCATTGAATTCCAGATGAGCCTGGACTGCATAGCAAATCCCTGTACACACACACACACACACACACACACACACGCATAGCAACATAAAATGGACATTCATCTGTATCCCCTTTTTTTTGTTAAGTTCCATTATTTGAATATTATAAGTGTGTTAACTAAGCAAAATATTCTAAAAGAGTCCAGTAGTCCATAATAGTATTGGGTCTTCCGCTTTACTGGCAATGTCAGAAATTGTTGACCTGAGTTCCCTACAGCTCAACATAAGAGCATGGCTTTACTTCTTATACTTCCTTTTTATACTTTTTGCTGGATGGTTAAGACCAAGGTAAAGCAGGACCTATTCGTCCATTTTGTACCTGTGTATTCAAAATGGTTAGGATAGATATATAGTTACATTCTCTTAATGAATAGAGGGATTTGTTCTAATCGTGTTTGTAAATAGGATATCATGTCCGCATCTTGTACAGCAAATAACCACTAGGAAGAATGTATGCAATGTGTTAATTACTGAAACTGTCCTACCGATTTGGTTTGAAACTGTCTCATTGCTATTTGTTTCTCAATAAAATTATGGAAAAAAAAGAACTCGGAAGAAATGCAAATAGAAAGGTATAATACAAGTAAAAGGAAAGCAGGAACTTGAGGACTAACTAATTAAGAGAGGGAAAGGAGAAGAGCTAGGAAACATGATGGTGACAAGCCATACAGTTATATGTAGAAGATGGGCAAGGCAATGATCCTGAGAATCTTGGGAAGATTTTTGAACCTCCCTTGTTTCTTAAGCTGTTCGTTTGTTCTCTTTTTATGGCCTTGTTTTTCTCAGTGGGTTTATGGTTGACTGCTGGGGTAGAGAGGGGGTGAGATCATTTACAGCTTAAGTGAGTTTAACTGATTTTTGTTAAAATGAAGTTGCAGGAAGAAAATGGAGCCTCTGTTACAAAGATATTTGTAGAAAATTGGTTACATATTTAAGTTTTAAAAAGAATGTTTGTTTAATATTCAGAACACAGTAAAGTATATAACAATTTGTCCTTTAAAATTGACTATACTTAAAAGTGCACTCTTTTAGCTAAACAAAAGTGTTCTATTTGGAATTTCATCCATGGGGGATGGGAGATACCAGGAAGGATGGAAGGAAAGCAGAAAGGAGGACAGGAAGGAGGAAATGAGGATGAGCTTGTGAAAGTTAAAAATAGCTTCTCTTTTTTATAATCCATTCAAACAAAAATTCAAATCTGAATACAAATTAAGAAAAGACATAATAAGTTGATCGCAGATTTTGCTCCTCCAGGCAGCACTATTGATCAGTCCCTGTGATGGTTTCAGTGTCACTGGGAGGTGCTCGTTGCCGGCTCATGGCCAGCTGCAGCACAGCAGAGCAGAGCCGGGGCGGGGGAAGGGAGGGCGGGCCAGAGGGGAGGGCCGGAAGCGGACCCCCAGCCCAGCGGTGATGCCTTGCTAGCAGGTAATGGGTCACTTGTACTTCCACAGCTTCTCAAGCTAGAGCTTATTAATCTGAAATAAGTAGAACTACTCCTACTGATTTTTCTTTTCATGGAGTATGTTTTTTCATGTCTTTTTGTTTTGTGCCCTTAAAGGGGATTTGTCCATGTGTGTAGCATACTCCTGGGTCTTTTTAAATATCCTTTTTTTTTTTTTAAATCCTTTTTGGCCTGTGTATGTCTTTTGAGTGGAGAAATTAGAGAACTTAATCCAGTTGAATACATAGTAGTCATTGGTAGGTGAGATTCTATCACTCTCATTTTGTGAATTTTCTCCGTGGTGTTATAGATTGATATCTTCTTCCTCCTTCCTCGCTTGCTACCTTCTTGAGTGATTGGATAATTTCCTATAAGTGATCCACTTTGACCCTTTCTAGTGTGTGTGTGTGTGTGTGTGTGTGTGTGTGTGTGTGTTTATGCTACAGAACCTCGTCCTGTGATTTTCATGAGTCACACGCAAAGGACTTTATGCACTGTCATGTTGATAGAGAGTCACAAAAGTATTTCTGTTTTGCCATCATTTTATGCTTTGGATGTGACCACTCACACCTGTCTAGACAGTCTAGATCTCTTAACACATCATTGCAGCTACTATTATTGTAATAATTTTCCTCGCAATTGAGCTCGAAGATGTATCCGGTTTAAAAACTGCCATGATAATATTACAGTATTATGAATTAGACTGTATGTCCACCTTAGTAAATTTTATACTTGTGTATGGTTTTGTGTTAATTTGATTTCTTTATTTCCGTTTGAAGAACTCAGCATTTTTTGAAAAGCTGGTCTAATGTTGATGTTCCATGACTGTTGTTAGATTGCAAAATCCTTATGTTATCTTCCTTTCAGTGGGCAGCCTTTCTAGATATTACATACTTGGTTGGCTTCTCTTGTAATACTGGTCATATTTTCCTCCTTCGTTCTGCCAGCTGGCGTCTTCTCGGAAATCTGCTCCTTGCCTGAGAGGGCTTCCCTCGTGTGGACTGAGCCTCTTTACTCATTTTGGTTTCAAATTTCTTCTTTTGTCCTTGACTTTTTGTGATTTATGTGTGAAGTGTGTGGGCAAAGGCATTTTCATAGTTACTCTAATAGGGATACTTTGGGCTTCAGGTATGCCATATTCATTTCTTTATTCAGATTGAGGAAATTTTCTGTCTTTATTTCCTTCAATGAATTTGAATTAATACTCAAATTCATATTTTTGTGGGCAGACAGGAGTTAGACTCCTAGCCCATCACTGGGCTGAGATAATTCCTACAGATGCTTTATCTCAGTGAAAGGATAAACTGGAAGTGAAAAACAAAAAATGCCAACTACTTCATAAAAAGCACAGTCTAATCAATACTTCACGAGTAACACTATAAAAAGAAACACATAACTTCAGAGTATAAAATGTATGTTCCTAGCTCTTGGTTCCAGAAAGCCATCCTCGTGGCTGGACTTAGCGTCCCTTGGCTACCCAATAATTACAAATATGCTTTAGTGTCTTTACTTTAGCCATGGGTTGCACTGGGAGTGGTAGATTGGAATTAACTTGGTGGGATTCCAATAATATATCTTTGGGATTACAAATATTAACTTCTTGGACTGAGACGA